AGCCGCTGAAGATGATCGCCGACGGAAACTATAAGCGATCGGTGAGTGTATTGATCGGCCACACGGACGACGAGGGCGGGTATATGTTGCCAATGGTTGATATGGAGAAGTATTCGGTCACTAATACTAAAGACATTACGAAAGGCGAGGCTTTTGACGACCTGAAGAAACTGACCAAACAGTTGATTACAAAGACGCCCATCGATGGCGAAGCAGTGGCCAAAACCTATTTTGGCGGTTCCCAAGAGCCCACCGGTCAGTACCGGCGCACTATTGGCGTCGCTTTGGGTGACTTTTATATCACGTGTCCGACCATTTTGTTCGCCAAACTGCTCATCGGTTCCGACAACAAGAATAAAGTCAATGTCTATCACTATTACTGGACCCGCAAATTGAGCGACCGGGCCGTCCCGTGCGCCGATTGGATGGGCAGTTGTCACGGCTCCGACACCTATATGCTATTCGGCGACCCCTTTGTTAACAAACAGTTGTATACCGACGACGACCGGACCGTATCACTCAATTTCATGAAGACTTTCGCCCATTTCGCTAATCACAGGTACTTTTGGTGTTTTTAAATGTGATTTTTGTCGACAAATTTAATTGTATTTTTTGCATCTATATTATAGCCGACCACTCGATCAATGGGACAAAGAGTGGCCAAAGTATTACCTGAAAGACGAGGAGATTATTGCCCCGTATTATGAGTTCTCTACGAAAAAGTCGCCGACAAAGAAAGTGTACGCAAAGAATCTGAAGACAAAACATTGTGAGAAACTCTGGAAGAAGTATATACTTTGAGATTTCATTTAGTAATTTATTTGTATTCATAATAATATCTGTTTTTCAATTTGTTTTCATTAATAAATATTTTACTGATTAATAAATTATTTCCAATCGTTTATCACATTTAATTAAGATTTTAAGCGTATAATTAAAATTGCCCCTATTGCATTACATTACATTAAATTACGATAAAATATTTAATTTTCATTCAATTTATTTGGAAATACCTTTTTATTATTTAGATAATTAATAGAAGTGTAAGAAAAACTTATTTTCAATGTTTTCAATCATTTCAATCAATAGGAAACTATTTAATCAAATAATCCAATAGTAAAAAATACTTAAACAACAATTAATTTCTAATTAATCACCATGTAGAAAAGGGATTAAATTTTTTCTTAACTTTTATTTGCGATTCATTCATCTCAAACAAATTAAGTATCGGTTTATTCCGTAATTTGTCTCCAATTGCTATATGTTTTTCATAGTCATCGCATTTAGGGATCAATTCTTGAGCCCTAATATCTTTACACAAATCTATTACTTTGATCTCAATTTCATCACACGTTTCAAATTCTTGGACACATTTTGACTGTAATTGTTTGCGAGACAATTTTTTCTCCTCTTGTCGTTTATCGGAACCAATCGGTGATAAATTTTTCAATTTCTTCTCAACATATCTAAGAGAAATATCAATCGGTTTTTTCACTGATTTAATAGACATCGACCTCTTTTTCTTCCTCTTGAGTGGTTCGCCATTTTTACGCTTAACACCTGATCTCCCATTCATTACATGGTGTGTGAAATATGAGTACAAATATGAGAGAATCTTAGTATTGTTTAATAATACCCAAGAAGTGAATGAGTATTTTCTTGAAGCCAATGTATCCCAATATTAACTGAATGCCAAATAAGACCAATTGAACGACAATTGCTGCGCTTATAAGCCAAACGTACCGCTCGGACAACACTGTTGTAGGTGTAGTCGGTCCGGGTATAGACTTTGGGTTTCGAGCTATCATGGTCAATTAAATCCAAATGTTATTGTGCTAATCAATTCACTTATGGCACACCAGTGGCAGATCTATAATTGTCACCAATATTAACAGCATTTGTGCATAAAATGAAATTATAAAGTGATGGAGAGAATACACCTGGATGAATTGTCCGCAAATCACACACAATTATCAAATGCATTGTCAGTGAGTTGAGTGGAAACTTATTGCATCTCTCGAAATACCAATACGAGTCAAGAATCTATATAAATCACCACTAAATACTGTATATCTAAATGTCTTATCAAATCTACAATCAGTTATAAGTTACAAAAATCTACAGCTATTTAGTCAATTAAACCACATATCATACTATAATTGATAAGTTTTTAATTAAACCTCAAATGTAGCTATTTTTTGAATAAATGTTGCATTATTTCTAAACTAGTTGTATATTTATTGATAGATTAAAATCTGGATCTAATAAACACACAGTTGGGAATTGTTTACCTATTGAAGTTAAGCCCTTATTTATTCTCACCATAATGAGATAACAATTAATTTGTTTAACAAATTAAAACAAATGATTGATTGCCTCATTGAATAAATTCATAGGAAAAATAATAATCAGATATTCATGAAATTGAAACATACAGTACACATGAAATATGCTAAATATACTACAAGTTATCACTAAAATTGTTTGAATTCAACGAGACATCAAATACTGATTAATCGGTATAAATAAAAGCGAGCGATAAGTCTATTAAGACTTTATATTAAATTTATATTCAATTAATAGTTGGTTGACTACAGCCATGCCATTGAATTAGGCAATTGTTTTGTCGCAAATAAAGAAACAGAAAGTTATATAACAATTACCTAATAATTGTTGCAACAGTTTAATGTAATGACTGATTATATTCATGGTAATAAAAAACTATGCATATACTGTAATTGTTATACAATTTATTATAATTATTATAATAGCAATAAATTAATGCTAACAATAGGCAAATAATAAGGAAAAAGTGTACTGGTAAAATTCTATTATCGCTACGCTAGCAATATGCTATTTGTGGTAAATATTTAACCATCTAGCTTTCTCTCTCGCTGTCTGGGGCTGCAGTTGTCAGGCATAATACACGTACACCTCTCGGTTGAACAGCACAGGCGTACAGTTATTCACTACATTTTGTAGACAAATAGTCGTATAGGGAATCCATAGTAACGGATAGCAAGCGTTAGCATTGAATGGTCAACAAGTATTGAGCACTTGTTTACAGAGAAGTGATGTATCGATAATGCAATACATAGTGAGAGACAGACAGAGAAAGTAGGAGTGAATGCAAACAGCGATACAAACCATACAAATGAACATTGATTTCGTAGATTTTAAACAATCTTTTCACACACCGATTGACACCACGGATGACACATATGATGGACAAACGGTGGATCAGTTGGCTGTTGATACTGACGGCCATCGGTGGCATCGTTTGCGACCACGAGGTGGACAAAGACCCGCAAACCGGTTAGTCCTTCAAAACAGTTGTCCCTTTAAATGTCATGTCTTTGTTTGCATTGATTTAGCCATTGATTTATGAATGCATTTGTAAATTGTTATGTTTTATCATGTTTTCTATGCCATGATTAGCGACTATTTAGTTGTCATTTAGCCCTAATGTGTGTAACCATGTGTTTAACAATGCATTCAATGGCACTTTAAATGCCATTTAAACGCATAGTGAATGTATAGTTAAATACATGGATGTGTTTGTATTGATTGTGACTTAAATGCAAATCAATACACTGTTTGTGTGTCACATAACGTGTATAATGTATATTGGATTACAACAAAACACAGCGACAAACACTTGATATGGCATTGAATTGATTATTTGAAACATTCAAACAGTGAAACTTGTATTGATTTTCTGCTTTCTTTATCATATGTCACACACAGAATGCAAAGCGGACTCAATTCCTGTGGTTAGCGGCGATGCCGGACGTCTTATCATCAATAGTACCGTTAAATGGTTGGACAAAACTGTGTGCCAATGGGTTATCAACGGAACGGCCAAAACGAGTCCATTCTTTTATCTGGCTGTAGAGGAACTGATCCTCGGAGTGAACGATACGCTCGAAGTGTTTGATTCGGCGAAGAAATCCATTTATAAAAGTTCGGGCTCTTTATGGCCGGGAGTTATACTGTTGCCCACCGATAAGGATATGCAACTGTACGTCAATTTGACAATATCTCAACCGACGGGAGAATTCAAGAGAGAGTGGGACGTCGACTATGGCATCAATAGCCCATCGGTTCAACTCTCAAATATCGACGGCTCCGGTCGTTATCAGCTGTACTTCAGTCCTAACGCCGATTTCGGACCAATTAATGCGAATCTCATTTTGAAAACCAAATACGACTCGAAGAAGCTGTTGATGAACGTCGAGGCGCTGGATGTGGGCGACAAAGCGACCGTCACTTTCGATTTGGTCGAGAAGTACGCGAACCAGTCCTGGCCCGCCAAAGACGCCACGGCACCCGACTTTTTGCTCTCAACTCAACAGCAGATTAACGTTAAGATCAATGGTTTGAAGTTTAATAAAGCGAAACAAATCAAAGGCCTGCAAATGCACTACGAATTGGTGGACACGTGCTCTCAATACAAACAGTTAACAGATCTGGACGTCGATAATATGGAGGACATTAGACTCCCGGCCCAAAATGAGCTCAAATTGATGTCCAGTTTCCGGTGTCTTAACATATTTGAACACAAGTCGACGGACGCCAAACTGTCGTTGGATTTGTTGAGTCATAAGTTTAGTTTCGCAAACGCCGGCGATCTCATCACCGTTTTGGACGGCAATACACGCTATTCGCCCGCTTTGGCCGTCATTGAGCCACACTTTCTCGATATCTATTGGAAAACTCAATACCTGTATTCGTCGGCCAACAAAATGTGGATAATGTTTGAGTCGCCGCAAGTGGTCAACGCGACCGTAAATCCCGCCAATAAGCTCGGCGTTCGCTTAGCCGCTGAAGATGATCGCCGACGGAAACTATAAGCGATCGGTGAGTGTATTGATCGGCCACACGGACGACGAGGGCGGGTATATGTTGCCAATGGTTGATATGGAGAAGTATTCGGTCACTAATACCAAAGACATTACGAAAGGCGAGGCTTTTGACGACCTGAAGAAACTCACCAAACAGTTGATCACAAAGACGCCGATCGATGGCGAAGCAGTGGCCAAAACCTATTTTGGCGGTTCCCAAGAGCCGACCGGTCAGTACCGGCGCACGATTGGCGTCGCTTTGGGTGACTTTTATATCACGTGTCCCACGATTTTGTTCGCCAAACTGCTCATCGGTTCCGACAACAAGAATAAAGTCAATGTCTATCACTATTACTGGACCCGCAAACTGAGCGACCGGGCCGTCCCGTGCGCCGACTGGATGGGCAGTTGTCACGGCTCCGACACCTATATGCTGTTCGGCGATCCCTTTGTTAACAAACAGTTGTATACCGACGACGACCGGACCGTATCACTCAATTTCATGAAGACTTTCGCCCATTTCGCTAATCACAGGTACTTTTGGTTTTTTAATGTGATTTTTGTCGACAAATTTAATTGTATTTTTTGCATCTGTATTATAGCCGACCACTCGATCAATGGGACAAAGAGTGGCCAAAGTATTACCTGAAGGACGAGGAGATTATTGCCCCGTATTATGAGTTCTCTAAGAAAAAGTCGCCGACAAAGAAAGTGTACGCAAAGAATCTGAAGACAAAACACTGCGAGAAACTCTGGAAGAAGTATATACTTTGAAATTTCATTTAGTAATTTATTTGTATTCATAATAATATCTATTTTTCAATTTTGTTTTCATTAATAAATATTTTACTGATTAATAAATATTTCCAATCGTTTATCACATTTAATTAAGATTTTAAGCGCATAATTAAAATTGCCCCTATTACATTATATTGCAATAATTTTCATTCAATTTATTTGGAATACCTTTTAATACCTTTTAAATAATTAATAGAAATGTAAGAAAAACTTGTTTTCAATCAATAGGAAAATATTTCATCAAATGATCCAATAATAAAGAAATACTTAAACAACAATTAATTTCTAATTAATTACCATGTTGAAAAGGGATTAAATTTTTTCTTAACTTTTATTTGCGATTCATTCATCTCAAACAAATTAAATACCGGTTTATTCCATGATTTGTCTCCAATTGCTATATGTTTTTCATTGTCATCGCATTCAGGGATCAATTCTTGAGCCCTAATATCTTCACACAAATCTATTACTTTGATCTCAATTTCATCACACGTTTCAAATTCTTGGACACATTTTGACTGTAATGGTTTGCGAGACAATTGTTTCTCCTTTTGTCGTTTATCGGAACCAATCGGTGATAAATTTTTCAATTTTTTCTCAACATATCTAAGAGAAATATCAATCGGTTTTTTCATTGATTTAATAGACATCGACCTCTTCTTCTTCCTCTTCAGTGGTTCGCCATTTTTCGGTTTCTTTTGCTGTTTAACACCTGATCTCCCATTCATTACATGGTGTGTGAAATATGAGTACAAATATGAAAGAATCGTAATATTGTTTAATAATACCCAAGAAGTGAATGAGTATTTTCTTGAAGCCAATGTATCCCAATATTAACTGAATGCCAAATAAGACCAATTGAACGACAATTGCTGCGCTTATAAGCCAAACGTACCGCTCGGACAACACTGTTGTATGTGTAGTCGGTCCGGGTGTAGGCCTTTGATTTTGAGTTATCATGGCCAATTAAATCCAAATGTTATTGTGCTGTGAAATTCACTTATGGCACACCAGTGGCAGACAACCAATAATTGTCACCAATATTAACAGCATTTGTGCATAAAATGAAATTAAAGTATAAAGTGATGGAGAGAATACACCTGGTTCAATTGTCCGCAAATCACACACAATTATCAAATGCATTGTTAATGAGTTGAGTGGAAACTTATTGCATTTACCAAAATAGAAAATATCTTACAATCTTGTTAGTATCTCTCGAACTATCAATACGAGTCAAGAATCTATATAAATTATATTGTATACCACTAAATATTGTATATCTATATGTCTTATCAAATCTACAATCAGTATATTTCCTTTCAATAATTATAGCTATTTAGTCAATTAAACCACATATAAGACTATAATTGATAAGTTTTTAATTAAACCTCAAATTTAGCTATTTTTTGAATAAATGTTGCATTATTTCTAAACTAATTGTATATTTATTGATAGATTAAAATCTGGATCTAATACACACACAGTTCGGAATTGTTTACCTATTGAACTTAAGCCCTTATTTATTCTCACCATAATGAGATAACAATTAATTTGTTTAACAAATTAAAACAAGTGATTAATTGCCTCATTGAATAAATTCATAGGAAAAATAATAATCAGTTATTTATGAAATTGAAACACACTATACATATGAAATATGCTAAATATACTACAAGTTATCACTAAAAATTTTAGTCTAAAATTGTTTGAATTCAACGAGACATCAAATACTGACTATCGGTATAAATAAATAAATAAAAGCGAGTGATAAGTCTATTAAAACTTCAATTATACAGTTAATAATGTATTGAATTAATAGTTGGTTGACTACAACCCATGCCATTGAATTAGGCAATTGTTTTGTCGCAAATAAAGAAACAGAAAGTTATATAACAATTGCCTAATAATTGTTGCAACAGTTTAATGACTGATTATATTCATGGCAATAAAAACTATGCATATAATTGTTATACAATTTATTATAATTATTATAATAGCTTTAAATTAATGCTAACAATAGGCAAATAATAAGGAAAAAGTGTACTGGTAAAATTCTGTTATCGCTACGCTAGCAATATGCTATTTGTGGCAAATATTTAACCATCTAGCTTTCTCTCTCGCTGTCTGGGCTGCAGTTGTCAGGCATAATACACGTACACCTCTCGGTTGCACAGCACAGGCGTACAGTTATTCACTACATTTTGTAGACAAATAGTCGTATAGGGAATCCATAGTAACGGATGGCTTGCGTTAGCATTGAATAGTCAACAAGTATTGAGCACTTGTTTACAGTGAGAGAGAGAGAGAAGTGATGTATCGATAATGCAATACATAGTGAGAGACAGACAGAGAAAGTAGGAGTGAATGCAAAAAGCGATACAAACCATACAAATGAACACTGATTTTGTATATTTTAAACACCGCTTTTCACACACCGATTGGACACCACGGATGACACATATGATGGACAAACGGTGGATCAGTTGGCTGTTGATACTGACGGCCATCGGTGGCATCGTTTGCGACCACGAGGTGGACAAAGACCCGCAAACCGGTTAGTCCTTCAAAACAGTTGTCCCTTTAAATGTCATGTCTTTGTTTGTATTGATTTAGCCATTGATTGATGAATGCATTTATTAATTGTTATGTTTTATCATGTTTTCTATGCCATGATTAGCGACTATTTAGTTGTCATTTAGCCCTAATGTGTGTAACCATGTGTTTAACAATGCATTCAATTGGACTTTAAATGCCATTTAAACGCATAGTTAATGTATAGTTAAATACATGGATGTGTTTGTATTGATTGTGACTTAAATGCAAATCAATACACTGTTTGTGTCATAACGTGTAATGTATATTGGATTACAACAAAACACAGCGACAAACACTTGATATGGCATTGAATTGATTATTTGAAACATTCAAACAGTGAAACTTGTATTGATTTTCTGCTTTTCTCTATCATATGTCACACACAGAATGCAAACCGGACTCAATTCCTGTGGTTAGCGGCGGTTCCGGACGTCTTGTTATCAATACGAGTGCCGTTAAATGGGTGGACAAAACTGTCTGTCAATGGATTATCAACGGCACTGGCAAAACGAGTCCATTCTTTTATCTGGCAATTGAGGAACTGGTTCTCGGAGTGAACGATACGCTCGAAGTGTTTGATTCGGCGAAGAAATCCATTTATAAGAGTTCGGGCTCTTCATGGCCGGGAGTTATACTATTGCCCACCGATAAGGATATGCAACTGTACGTCAATTTGACAATATCTCAACCGACGGGTGAATTCAAGAGAGAGTGGGACGTCGACTATGGCATCAATAGCTCAACGGTTCAACTGTCAAACATCGACGGCTCCGGTCGTTATCAGCTGTACTTCAGTCCTGACGCCGATTTGGGACCAATTAATCCGAATATCATTTTGAAAACCAAATACGAGTCGAAGAAGCTGTTGATGAACGTGGAGGCGCTGGATGTGGGCGACAAAGCGACCGTCACTTTCGAGTTGGTGGAGAAGTACAACAACATGTCGTGGCCCGTCAAAGACGCGACGGCACCCGACTTTTTGCTCTCAACTCAACAGCAGATTAACGTTAAGATCAATGGTTTGAAGTTTAATAAAGCGAAACAAATCAAAGGCCTACAAATGCACTACGAATTGGTAGACCAATGCTCTCAATACAAACAGTTAACAGATCTGGACGTCGATAATATGGAGGACATTAGACTCCCGGCCCAAAACGAGCTCAAATTGATGTCCAGTTTCCGGTGTCTTAACATATTTGAACACAAGTCGCCGGACGCCAAACTGTCGTTGGATTTGTTGAGTCATAAGTTTAGTTTCACAAACGCCGGCGATCTCATAACCGTTTTGGACGGCAATACACGCTATTCGCCCGCTTTGGCCGTTATTGAGCCTCACTTTCTCGATATCTATTGGAAAACTCAATACCTGTATTCGTCGGCCAACAAAATGTGGATAATGTTTGAGTCGCCGCAAGTGGTCAACGCGACCGTAAATCCCGCCAATAAGCTCGGCGTTCGCTCCCAATCCCAAGGTTTGTCACAACGAGTTGTTAAGCAATAACATTACATATAGTGATACAATGAATTGTATGGTTTAGGCGGAAGTTTTTTCATACCAAAGACTAAGGACCGAACGGATCTCATACTCACCGACAAAACAACGCCTCGACTACCGATTGTCTTCACTTATTACACAGATGTGGGCAACCAATTGGTACTGGATTTCAATGAAAAAGTTAAATTGCCCGGAAACGCAAACGACAGCGTTATCCGAGTGTACGAAGACATGTCCCGAGTGGGCAAACCCTTGATTGACCTGCGGGGCGGCGCTTATCCGCCCGATCTCGTGGCCTCAAACACTAACCAATTGAAAGTGGAGTTTGGATTTAAGGCGTTTAATTTTGGTTTCATTAACTCCAGCAATATTTTGAATATCGCTACCGGATGTCACGCCACCGCAAAGGGCGACACATCCGCATACAGTCTGACCGCATGCGCCGATATGTGCTCGTGGTTTATACCCGACCGCCAGAACTCGACCGGTGTATACATAATCCAGTTCTCGCACCTCTATCTGCCCAAAGACACGGACGGCGTGTCGATCGCGCAGTTCGGTTCGGACAAACCCAACACCATCTTCGAGATTAAAGGTACGCTCTCTTCGGCACAAAGTGTTTGTTTTGGTTAAAAGTTAATATAGAGTTTGTTCTGTCATTGTTGTGGTGAAACCCATTGTTAGGTCCGTATAAGACGAATGTATTCCCGGAAGTGATTCTCCCGGCGAACGGCATGTATACTCTTTATACGAAGAGGGCTACGTGTGACAAAACGTCGGTCGACAGCTCACAGCTGTTCGGCGTATCTATGGTTTACGCGGACAAGAATATCAACGCCCAGTCGATGACACTGACCAAAGGCGCCAACGCATCCATTCAGACATTGAATTATCCGAACGCATACTCTGTGGGCAGTGACCAGAAATGGGACGTTAAACCGACGGTCAATGAGACGACAATGGCTTTCGTTACGATCACTGATCTACAGCTCACTCCCGGACACCAATTGATGTTTGTCGCCAAAGATGCTAACATCACGTTCAAAAGTGATGCTCAATTGGCCGACATCGGGGACAGTCTGCTGCCGCTACCGTTTTTCGCCAATCTTAACACTCAATTGGTTAACGTAAACAACACGCCGATCACTGGCCGCGGATTTAGGGCCGACATATGGCCACTGACCACATGCGGCGGCACAGTTACAGTTGATCCCAAAACGGGCGGCAAAGCAGTGACTCCCGAGAAATTGGATGGCGTTTCCCAATGCGTTTGGATTGTGAAGACAACCGAACCAAAGGACAAATCATTTAATTTGATTGAATTCACATTAAATCATACGAAAGATTTTGATTTCAATAAACTAAAGATCTACGACTCGAACACCATTAGAGATGACCACAGATTGCACTTTGAGTACTTCGCCACTCGACAGAACACCAGCTCATCCAACACTCTGATCATTGTGTTGAACGTAACCGATCCCAAGAAAGACATTATTGGCTTTGATTTCACTCAAACAGGTATATATTGACATTTTCAGTGCATTTAAATTGATTTAACACTGATTTTTGTGTAATGAATGGTCGACAGTGTGTAACGGCACCCGTTTGTGCGACAATAAGAAGCGTTGCCTTTTGGACGAGTTCTTCTGTAACGGTATTAACGATTGCGGCGATTGGACCGACGAACTGCATTGTAATGGTACTCAACCCCAGCCCTCCCCGTCTCCACTCCCACCGGAAAAAATCTATGTCCACTCCGGAGGTATGCGTTTTACTACATATTATTGTTATTAAGTATTTTGTGATCTAATAGTACTTTTCTATGTGTGTGTGTAGTGAACGGATGGGTCGTAACTCTGGTCATATGCCCCCTATTCCTGGGACTGGGAGTATTGGGCACTCTATACGGGCCGAGATTGATGGGCCGCTTTGGTCGCGGCCGTTATCGGGAATTTCAAGACTTTTCCGAAGTGTCATAAACTTGTGTTAGTCTATTATTGGGTATTAAATATTATATAATTTGAAATTTATAAATCTCTTATTCACAGCATTTTCTCAATACAATTAAGTTTTGATTTTCTATTTTCTATAAAAATAGTTTACATAAAAATTTCCTACAAATGTATTTAAGTTATTAGCCAACGGAATAGCGCCTTGGTACTTTACCTTTGGGGATCTGGGTGTATTTTTCGATTTAATGCGGGCACATATGGGCAATTATTAGTTACCAAGGTGTTTTTCCAACAGTTTTTGATTTAAATTCATTTTTTTTAATTGATTGGACTTTCGTTTATATTACCGGTATGATTTTATAAGCAATTGATTTGATCTGATTTTTAGAAACACCTGTACTTTAATAATGATTTAATTATTAATCTCAAGTTTAAACTCAAATTTAATTAATGTCATAATTATTTTGAACAACAAATTATACTCTATTCTCTCCGTATAATTGGCGACATTTAATTAACTGTTATTTATTTCTATAATTCGTTACTTAAATGCATTGTAAATCAATTCAAATGTAAATATTGAGAAAATTATATCTCAAAATCAAGTTTTAAATAAAGTATTTTTTGACTTAATTTTATATTAGTATTTATTTATAAGAAAATGAATCAAGGCATTTGTTCATTGTTAATATTAATTGGTGAAATGTTAAAAGTCGTATATAATTTTTCTAATTTGCGAAATTAATTATAATTGTAAGCGTAACAAAAATTGATATAAATGATGTACAGTAAATACATAATTCATTATAAAAAACGTGTCTAACTATTACAGTACTAATTATCTTAATTTTGATGTATCATAACTTTTGCCCATTATATGTCAGATTTGTGAAATTCCTTCACATTTGGATTTCTCTCATTCAAACCTTTCCATTCATAAAACAAAAAATTGATTTTTTACAGTTTTCCCGATCACTGCGGCCAAACCCGAGGTCGTCTGGCTATATAAACTATACCAAAGCTACTCCTTTAAGAGTGTACTTTTGTATTATAACAATAAATGCCGGTTGAATGATAGCAATTTTTGAACATTATTCTTTATTTAATTTATAAAAGTATCTGAACAAAAATATTATTACAGGTTTGTTGTGCATTAAGAATAATACAGTATACTGTAAATGTAATTATATTTTGAATGTAGTTATTTAAAATTGGAATCAATTTAGTTGAAAATTTTAATCATACACTGAATTAGTGAAGTTGATTGTGAAATTGTGTTGATTTCATAGATATATATGGTGTACACAACTTGTTTTTAATGTAATTCTGGTGTCAATTGCACATTACATTTGTGATGGATGTGTGGATGTGTTTGTATGCAATGCCGAGTCTATAATACATTATATTCTATTCAATAGAATCTATTGTTTGCTTTGGTTTTGCGGATCAAATGTAAAAACCAAGAGTTAATGTCCTTTTCTATGCAATGAATTGCATGATAAAAAATATTGGGTCACTTTCTCTATGGATGGATATACTGCACTGTATTGCCTAAAAATGCAATAGATTTTCAAAACTTATGCTATGTTTATACGATTTGAACGACAGATCTCTAAAAATATTGATAATATTTATTTTTAAGATTTTTCAAAACTACACCAATGAAACCGATGGCAAAAGTTTCTAAAACCATCTATTATTGTATAAATATTTGTATATGATTTTAGACATTGAATCAAAAGCTTTGGTGGGAAAGAAGTTAAATGATAAATGTAAAGAATCCACTATTAATGATTGTAAATAACAGGAATAGATATCTCTACCAATGATGGTGGAAAAATCTACCCAGCTATAATTAGTGACAAATGTATGTGACTGTGATTAATGGGAGGTTATAGCGATAAATACACATTATATTTGACTGGGAGTTAATTTGTGGGTCACTTTTGACCACTATTTATAAGTGTTTTGCCGCAAACTGAAGGCATTTACACATAAAGTTTGTGTGTTTTTCTGTAGACTATTTATAAATTAGATTGAGTTTTCACAGAGTATTTGTTCCGTTATTATCACACACTTTATATCCGTTTATTCACACAATACATCACAAACTGATTTCTGGCCACAAATAATAAGACAAACATTTATAATATATTGATCGTTGAGTACAGTATTAGTTGGTATTTCTCTTCCTCATCATCACTCATATTAAGTCAACACATGAGCCGTTTTATAACTGGGTTTAGCTTCGGAGTCAATACATGTATACTGTATATCGTTATAAACACGGATATTGTGCTCCAAATGCATAATACTTTACAATACAGTAATTCTTTTTAAGTCAACACATGAGCCGTTTTATAACTGGGTTTAGCTTCGGAGTCAATACATGTATACTGTATATCGTTATAAACACGGATATTGTGCTCCAAATGCATAATACTTTACAATACAGTAATTCTTATGTCGATAACACTATGGGATTCGTGACATTATGAGGATAGATGTAAATATACAATGTATACAGTATTAGGCGCTCATCTCTTCTAATGTTAGCAAATATTTTTATATTAAGTCCAAAATTAACTATAAAAGTCAATGCGGGAGAAAAAGTTTCCTATTTTTTGTGTGCATTTTGTTCAAACATTTGATGGTTTTTTAATACCCATTAGTGAATAGACTTTGTTTTTCTCTCGTAAGCGTTAAATCATCAAACATTTGTTTTACTATAAATGTGTGCAATTTTTTTGCTCAAATATAGAGGGAATACTGTATTAGAATACATATAAAGTAAAGTGTATAAAACAAAGTTTACTTTTCTGTGATCTTTTCTTATGAGTGTATCGATCAATGATTTGATTTGTGTCCAG